GAGTGTAGTGCTGCCATAGCTTATTGTTGTAAAAGGAAAATCTCAGTAAATAAGGATACATTTTCCCAGCAATACTCATGGCATGACTGCAAATGGGCAATGCCCAAGCTTACTCAAAACAGGGTGGGAAAAAATTAACACAAAAAGCACCATAAACAGCTAAGGAAAATTTATTAGATGAATAGAAGATAACGCTTTTGTATAATGGGAATAAATGGGAATAAATGCCATCCAGGACAGGAGGTTGTCGAGTTCTGTAGGCTTTAATGATGGCTGCCACAATCCATCTATGGTTATAGAAGAGGCTGCTTCCACTATACTGTCCAGGTAAAACAAAGAGTCTGGAGCATTTTCTGAAGGCCTTAGTCCTGTTGAGGTAGATACTTGAGCAACAGACAAGATCAAGATAATTCTATTGTGTTTTTTTTTTCTCCAACGGTGGTACTAGAAAAAAAACAATGTAGCACAATTTCATGATTTAGGTAAAATTTAGATACTACTTTTGGTCTGAATTCAGGCACTGTGGGCAGCACCACTTTATCCTGGTGAAATATCATATAAGGAGGGTCAGTGTAGTGGACTTCTAGCTCTGAAATTCTGCATGCAATGGTAATAGCTACCAAGAAGGCCAGCTTGAAAGAAAGGATAGATCAAAAAATAGTTTTTAAAGGCTCAAAGGGAGCAGAGATGGTAGTTGACAGTACCATAGGTAAATCCTAAGTATTGCTCACAGGCTTTATTGGATGTCTATTTGAGTGACTGCTCTTTTGAACCTTATAATGTCTTGATCTTGAGACCACTGACGGCCAATTTGGCAGATATATGGACTATGAGTGTGGTTAGACTTTATCCAATCCTGCATGAATAAACTCAAGAACATCAGATGGGGAAGGAGCTCCAAATGTGTCCATTGAGTTTGGGGCTGGTCTAGCTTATGCAACAATTTGAGGTGATTCTCTTTCATGAGAATGCCCTGGAAGTTTAGATAATTGGATACCCAAATAGAAAGTGAGGTAGAATGACAATCAAACTGGTATCTATTTATAGGGATTGTAATGTATAGGGTAGGAATGCAAATAGTCTGCTTTTTGCTCTCGCTATTTTTGTAAAATAATACCATGCTCTAATTGTTCCTCAGAGATATAAGTGTAGATACAGATTTATCAGGATGGGCTATAAACAACTGTATGCAAAGAGAGACAGTGTTTGCTCACCTCTAGTATGCAGAGGTGGTCTCTTCTAATAAATTGTATGAGGCATTCCAGGAGCATATGAATATCAAGGGCGATAGAGGACAGCTTTTCTGGATACAACTGGAGATAATTATTGAGTGTGAGATGAAATCTGTATTTTAGTTGAGGAGTAGGAATAGAATGCCAAAATACTCTGCAAGCTCAGGGAAGCCAAAGCGTTCTAAAGTAGCTCACATATATTTTTAATTTAAACGATCAAATGCCTTTTCACCATTTAAGGCCAGTAAGAGGCCCATGGTATGAGAGGAATTGGCCATCTGTAATAAATCTTGGAAATATATTGTGTTATTTCTCACTTGGAGCCCTAAGACAAACCCTGCTTGCTTTGCTGATTCTAATTGCTGTATAACCAGACAGCCACTAGTGGGCTTTATGATTTGAAACGGACCTTGGGTCTGGTATCTGATGCTGGACTTCCTCTGTATAAGGACCTCCAGCGTCAGATTTTTCCCCATAAGAAAGCATTGGTCAATGCTTTCCTATGAGGAAATCCTAATGTGAGCTCGGCAATTGTCACACATGCGCATTAGGACTCCCCCGCCAGCTGACCATGGCGGAAAGGAGCGTGGGCAGTGCCTGACCCAGCTCCCATGGACATCGATGCTGAATTCAGGTAAGTGACTGAAGGGGTAGTGCCACAGGAAGGGGGTGAGAAGAAAGGGGGGCACTGTAGAATTCTATAGTGCCAGGAAAACCGCTTTATTTTCCTGGCACTATAGAACCCTTTAAATGAGTTGATCAGATGTGGAGTCAAATGGTTTGCAAGCTTATGATATTAATAGTTGGAAAATCCATCCGGTCCATGAGATTTTTATTTAGGTAAATGGGTAATAGCTTTCATTAACTGTTCCACTGTAAAAGGAAGCAGTAACTGATGTGTTGAGATCTTAAGGATAGTAACAGCATTTAGAAAGGTTTGGATGTCATTGTCAGTTGGACAGTGTAACAATGTGTCAGTAAACTACTACAATGGTTTAAATAATTTGTCTGCTAATTTATCCACAATGTGTTGTGGATTTACCAGTGTATCCCCCTTTGCAGAAGTAATGTATTGTATTTTGGTTTGTAGACATTTTGCTGCCAATAATTTTCTTGCTTTTTCTCTTTGCTTGAAAAATTTCTGTTTAGATTTCCTTATATGGTGTTCTGTTTTCTGCAATTATGATTTATTTAATTTCTTCTTTAAACATGAAATCTTTAGTTAGTTTTAACACTAGAAAAATCGTCTATATTTTGTTTTTTCAACACATCTAATTCTTGGACGAGCTCTGTCAGTGCCATGCTTGTAAACCTTTTCCTACAGGAACCCTCTTTAATAAAATGTTCCCTGAGTACAGATTTATGAGCTAACCAAACATTTTATAGAGACGTATCTTCAGAATGTCTAACATAAAAAAAAAATCTGAAATGGCAGTAGACAAGTTACTGTGAGTGCCTGGGTCAACTAGAAGGGATTCAGTTAGGCACTGTGCATCTCTGCCTCTAGCTGGAAATAAGACATTAAATGTTATACCTACAGCATGATCAGTCCACAAAAGTTGGCTTATGTCTACATCAATGACATTAGATATGGTAGAGCTATCCACTACGGGCAATAATCTATTTATAAATTATCGTGATGTGGACATTGAAAGTAATTTTGTCAGTGTATGCAGATGACACATAACTAGGGAACATGAACATGATATAGTTTCATAACTATTGAATAAATTGTGGAATTGGGCAGGCAAGAGGCAAATGAGATTCAATACAGACAAATGTAAACTCATGCGTTTTGCAATAAGGAACCCACAAGTCACTTACACATTAAATGGGGTTTAGTTAGATATAAAATTAAATGAAACGGACTTGGGAACAATTACAGATCACAAACTAGCCAACAGTATGCAAGACTGGTCTGCTGGTGCAAATGCTAGTAAGGTGCTTTTGTGTATAAAAAGGGGTTTCATTCATAGGATCCAAATATAATTTTACCTCTTTACAAATCAACGGTAAGACCCCAACTTACATATGTGGTGCCATTTTTGGCACCGGTTTTAAAGAAGTATATTGCAGAACTAGAAAAAAGTGCAGAGGTGAGCTACAAAATTGATAAAGCAGATGGAAAGCATTCGTTATGAGGATAGGCTAGAAAAACTAGATTTAATTTCTTTAGAAACAAGGCACCTGTGGATATGATAGCAGTTTGTACTGACCCAATATATATTTGTATAATGCTATGTGCTAACCTGTTCATTAGCAGGAATATACAACAGAGAATAGGTCACCCATAGAGATTAGAAGATAGGTGTTTTCGCTTACAGCAGAGGAAATGGTTCTTTACAGTAAGAAGAATAAAGATGTGGAATTGTCTTCCTAGAGGAGTTGTGTTATCAGATTCTGTAGATAATTAAAAAAAATTGTTTTTTTGCATATTCAAGACAGAGGCATAACTAGAAACCACAGGGCCCCGGTGCAAAAATTGTCCTTGCCCGCCCCTCCACGTCTATAATTAACACATACAGATACATACAAGTACACGTATGCTGATACAGACACACAGAATGACACACATTCAAATACACAGAATGACATTTCTAGGCGGTATAGTTGATCTCCATCCACGGTCCATTTGGTACTTCTATCCACCAACTGTGGCTCTTGTTCCTCCGTGAGCTCTGCATACCGTCGTTGCCAACCAGTGTAGCGGAGCACAAGTCCTGACAAGGACTTTTCCTCTACTGGATCCATGAAGTCAGGAACAACGGAACAAGGTGCTGAAATCCCTCCCCAGTAACTGTAAGACACACAGTTCTGGGGGTACTACTGATTTATTCAGCTCAAACACAGCCTTCTATGCACAGACCCCCAGCATGGGGTCTGAATATATACACACGCCCCTCCCATGCGTCCCTGCATCTAGGAGATAATTGAGTCAAAATTGAATAACTGAATTAGCTCTCAGTTACAGGGAAATACAAGAAACATATATGAAACACCCCCAAAACAGTCATATTTTACAGGAACCCCACAAGTCTAATATCCCCAAATAGCCTGGATCTGAGCGACCAACATATCCAAATAGTGCTCAGATCTGTTTGGTAGTAAAGTTCGGACCAGCTGACCATGAGGCGATGGCCCAAAACAGTTCCAGAGAAATTAGTACAATGGACAGACTGCTTTTGGGGGTTCCTAGCTTTTAGGGAGCAAATAGTCCTTATCTCCCGAACGTCGTTCATCTAGTTGGTCAGGAAGTGGAATGGACAGCGGTATCATATTTGCCCAGGTTCATAAGACCGCGTGGCTGAAAACAGTTCCAGGCTGACTATGTTCAGGAGACAAAATGGTCACCAGTCACTGGAGCACGTGTGTTTTGTTATACGAATGGCAGCCACCCAGGGAAAGCACTTGAGTTAACCACTTAATTGCAGTTAACAGCCAGGGGTGGTCAGTGTTCAGGGAGGTATAAAAGCGAGGGACCCATCAATTTGGGAAACAAACAAGGGGGTACGGACAACCAAACAAATGGGGAATGAGTCCGCTTCCTGACGGCTTCATCCCAGCGCTCTGACATCCCAAGGGGGTGGTCACACTCTTAAAGTGTCGCAGCACCAACCAGGCTCCTAGAAATACATTGCCATCGGGTGGCCCTGAGAGTATGGGCCACATTATGGGCCCCTCAATGCAGCCCCAGCAGTAGCTCTACCCAACAATGCCAGCGGGCACCCCAGTTGCAGGGGTCGACAGGGCGGCCAGGATTCTGGAGTGATGGTAGGTCTGCCACTGTTTGATGATTTAATTGATATCTATGTAAACATGTTGCTGATCCAAGGAGAAACTGATTTCCATTATGGAGTCAAGAAGGAATTCTTTTTTTGTGTGGCATAATTAGACATTATTTTGCCTTCTTTTGGATCAACAGCATAAAAGAATGGACTTCAGGGTTGAACTTGATGGAGTTTGATCTTTTTCATACTAGACAAGTATGTAACTTTTCTGCTATAAGTAGAATGTGGGTGTGAGAAGAATGCATGCTTTCAGTGGTGGTTAGAAGGATTGCCAAGCAGTCTAGACATTTTCAGACTCCAGTTTTAGATTTTTTCCTAGCGCTTCCAGGCTCACTGAATACCTAGGTCAATGTCTAACACATAGTTTCTCTCTATATGTCTCATAGTCTGGTCTTTATTACTTGTGTTCAAATATATAAAACAATCTTAATGTTGTTTTGTTTATCAGAATTTCTCTGAAAGTTTAAGAAATTGGGAGATTTCGCAGGGAGATCTGGTGTGCCCAAACATGTCCCCTTCTGCACAAGTTCCGAACAGAGGTATGTGTTTCTGATTGTTTCAAAAAAATAAAAATAAAAACACAACAAAGTGGTTACTGAGAAACCCAGATACATCTGCAAAATATTTCACAGTATCTTCAAACTACTATATCAGTTGCTGCAGAACTACTGGGAATAATTGATTATTGAAAATACAGTTTGACTACTTACACTGGGGGACACCAGGACATTCCTGGCACCATAATTACTGCAATGAGCTGTAGGGGTTATAATGTTTTGAGTGTTCCTTTAAAATAGGATATTGCATAGGCCCTTCATAGAAAAATAATTAAAATAATCAAATTTATTATGAATCATCTTTAAATATTTTCTTTTCTTTTCTCTTGGTAGCAGACAGAGTAAAGCCAGCAGATGTGAAAGTTGTTGCAGCTTTAGGAGATTCATTGCCCCATATGCTGGCATTTTAGGTATAGTTTGTTAGGCTATGCCAGTAATATTGCTGCTTACATTCATTGTAACTGGAATTTTAATCTTTAGGCAGGCATTGGTGCAAATGCTACAAACATTTTGGAGCTCCTAACAGAATTCCGTCAATTCTCTTGGAGGTAAGTAAAACATACACCCTCTAAACTATTAGCTCTTGTAACTAGAATTTATATTACTTATTATTCTTCCTCAGATAGTGTTCTTTCTTGTGTATATGGAGCTCCTCATAATACTTCATCAGGAATACAGCATCGATTATTTACATTATTGTGTGATATCGTTACCTGTCCAGTACTTAATAAAAAAAAACAATGTGCCTTTTTTACATTTAATTGAACACTGACAGTTTTTAAAAGTTTCAGTTTCAATAGAGAGTTTTTTTTCGTCACAGAGCTTATGGAAGCGATAGGTGCGCTGGACTAGAGTATACCTGACTTCTTCCCTCCTCACTGAGCTGTACTACAATTCATTGAAATGCTTTGAAAAGCCACATACACATGAGCCTGCTGCTACAGCACTGTGGCTTCTCAAATTTTAGACTGAGAAAGAGGGAAGCGCTTGCAAAGGCTTCAGACAGCAGGTCTGCAGTTTTTGAAAGCTGGTGTTTCAAATACCCCTAAAGAAAACATGTGGAAAAAAAAGAATGTTTTATTTTGTGGGCAGATCTACTAAATAAAAAAAAGCAAAATAAATAAATAAAAAAAGCAAAAAATAAAATAAAATATTTTTTTATGGATTTCTCCTGATAAAATGTATTTTAATAAAAAGTTTGTTAACAAGTTCAATGCTAGAATTCATACTTTATTAAGCCCTGCACTTTAAACGCACATTAAATGAACATTAATTGTTCTTGACCATAGCATAAACTAATTTATTCAAATGGTTCCACACTTATTAATCGCTACTCAGAATGCAATAATGGTAATCAAGCCATAAATACTTAATGAGGAAAGGTACATTTATCCTTTACCAGTTGTCTATTTAGTCCTGGGGTTTAGATGTTATTATTATTCAAATTAATGGTTACTAATTTTATCAAACTTCAAAAGAATGAAAGTCCTAGTTGAAATGCGTTATAATATACATATATTAGTCTATAACACTAAAATTAGCACACACACAAAAAAAAAAGTACATTCCACAGGTCAATGTTTTTATATGCTGCCCAGCAATACGTATACAGTATGCTGTATGTGTGGTAGATATGGTAAACCTACTCATGCCTGAATTTGTTTAACAGTGCCGGGGGCTACGGGAACCTCTCAGATGCTGTAACTCTGCCAAGTAAGTACCTCAACTCATTCACTTTCACATATACCTGCACTCACAGTACAATTGTTGTCTCAGCTGTCTCCAGTAAAGCCTGTCTTTTTTGAACAGAAATATTATTTGGAGGCCCAAATCCCAGTATCTTTATTTTCTACAAATTGAGATTATTGGTTGTGTGAGTGTATCACAAACTGCATTTAGTGTGGTTGGGATTTAGTTTTATTTCATTACGGTGCCTGGCCCACTGTCTCAGAAACTCAGAAGTCATATTTTGGCAAGTATAACACATGGTTTGGAAACCAACAACTGCTTCTCAAGGACAAGTTCCATTACCCTGATCCAGACTCTGAAAACTGGAAATTGTAGTTTTATAATCTGAAAGGAACACAAACCGATCAAACCTATGCTCATTGTATTTATAATGCAATCAACAGACACACAGAGTATGGACCAGATTCACTGTGATCTCACTTGGCACACAGAGTGCTCATTTACCAGAGACACCTGAAAGCTCACATTGTTTTCCTGGCACTATAGTTTCCATTTAAGCACAAAGTTGTTGTTTTTTGCCTGGTACTATAGTTCCCTATAGTGCCCTTTCCCCCCGCCCATGGTGCATGTGGCGAAACCAACCTCGCCACTGTGAACTGGAGAAGCCTGGTTGCTCGCCTGCTCCCTTTGGACTATGGCCCTGCAGGTTAAACCGTTTATTTTCCCTGCAGAAAGGCTTATTCGTGCCTTTCTGCCGGGGTGTTCGGTAGATTCCAACTACCGAACGGGGGACCACCGGGGAGCTGGAGTGTGCCGCCAATTGACCGCCCAGAAGCTGCGGTTAACCGCAGCTTAATTGATGAACGCTGGGTGGCCTTTGTTCGTTTGCTGAACACGTGGCAGTGGCCACTTTAAGTCCCGAAAGGCCAGCGGTGCTCAGCACTAACACTGTGGAACGGAAAACGGACACTTCCTTGCGCCAACACAGCTGAGCCGTCCGCCCCCTGGTTCCTATTCGTGCCCTTGGTGTCGAACACCGGTTCAGTCGGTACTTTGGGATATGTGAATATGTTAACCCAGATAGCTAAGCCATGGAGCCCATTCGTGTAACGAAGGACTATGTGAAAGACTTTGGCTCCATGGCATTTAAACTGTATGTATGTGATCTGAGTGCCATTCATCTAATAATGTGCGCTCAGATCTAACCTATCTGGGAATATGTAGAAATGTGTGTCTTATGTACTAAATGTATCAGTATGCAATTTTATGTCTTTTACTGTCTTTTTGTCTGCCATGTGGGTAATGGAGTTTTACCTCTGTCCTTGGAGATAATTAGATTTCTTCCCCAATTATCTCCAGGGCAGAGAGGAGGGATTGTGAGGCATTGTGGGAGGTAACTCTTGTGTGATTGGTGTATTGGGTAATTGTTGTAAATCCCTCCCTTGCATGGGAGAATCCTTTGTAAGCCTGTTGTGTGAATAAATCAGTGTTGTTCCTGTTTAACCCTCAAAGTGAAGTGTCGTCTCATTCTTGGGGGGAATTTGACTGTATGCCGATTGCCAGGAGTGTAAGCTGTTCGTAGGGCTTTTCTTGTTTGGCTGCTTCCAGGGTTCGTGTGTCTGCTGTTCGAGAGTTGGTGAATACGTGCAGTTTGGAGTTCGGGAGGTTGATGATTGCAGTAGCTGCGGGTCTATCTGGAAGGGGATTATCGCCTAAACGGTTTTTATCCCTTTGTGAGCGAAACGGTCCGTTACAATTGGTGGCAAGCGGCGGGATCGTTCCTACAACCAGAAGGACAGCTACAAGACAACACCAGTGCCTGGATTACAATTGAGAGCAACGCTAGTACACATACAGCGACCCTATGTACAAAGTAACCAACTTCGACAGAGCAAGCATGGCACCCCGCTACACGCAGGAGGCGTTTGACAAAGAGTGTGCCTCGCGGCCGGCTCTCGTTACATTTGTCCCCTCTGAGGAATTTGTGCAGTTCGTAAGGAGCCAGGTAGACGAGTACCTGCAGTTCATGGCAGATCCAGCCAAAGGTATAGGTCACCCTATCTGGTGGCAGAGTGCGTTACGGGGACTCAGAGGTGTACCCTAGGGAGCTGAAGGTGTCGTCCTTCCTCCCCAGCGGCAGAGTAAGTCCCAGGGAGCTGAAGGTGCAGTCCTTCCTCCCCAGTGGCAGAGTAAGTCCCAGGGAGCTGAAGGTGCAGTCCTTCCTCCCCAGCGGCAGTGTGTATCCCAGGGAGCTGAAGGTGCAGTCCTTCCTCCCCAGCGGCAGTGTGTATCCCAGGGAGCTGAAGGTGCAGTCCTTCCTCCCCAGCGGCAGTGTGTATCCCAGGGAGCTGAAGGTGCAGTCCTTCCTCCCCAGCGGCAGTGTGTATCCCAGGGAGCTGAAGGTGCAGTCCTTCCTCCCCAGCGGCAGTGTGTATCCCAGGGAGCTGAAGGTGCAGTCCTTCCTCCCCAGCTGCAGTGTGTATCCCAGGGAGCTGAAGGTGCAGTCCTTCCTCCCCAGCGGCAGTGTGTATCCCAGGGAGCTGAAGGTGCAGTCCTTCCTCCCCAGCAGCAGTGTGTATCCCAGGGAGCTGAAGGTGCCGTCCTTCCTCCCCAGCGGCAGTGTGTATCCCAGGGAGCTGAAGGTGCAGTCCTTCCTCCCCAGCGGCAGTGTGCACCCCAGGGAGCTGAAGGTGCAGTCCTTCCTCCCCAGCGGCAGTGTGTACCCCAGGGAGCTGAAGGTGCCGTCCTTCCTCCCCAGCGGCACAGTGTCCTGCAGGGAGCAGAGACCGTCAGTCTCGCACCCCAACCACAGGACAAAATAATGAAAGGGGAGACAGCTGGTCCCCCTCTCCACCAGCAGAGAGAGTGTCAGGGAGAGGAGCCTGATACCCCCTCTCCCCAGCGGCAGGTTACAGTTCAGAGAGAGGAGCTTGTTACACCCTCTCTCCAGCGGCAGCCTAACCCAGCAAGGGGAGATGTTACACCCCCCAACAGTGCAGATGGGACCGTAGTCTCTGCACTTGCAGCACAAGGGGTAGGGACGGTCGGTCCTGTTCCCCAGCCCCAGAGCTGTGTACCCAGAGGGGAGACGGTCGGTCTCCCCCTCTCTCAACCAGGCTCCAACCAGGCTACTTCAGTGGTAGCGCGAGAGTGTCAGGGAGAGGAGCCTGCTACCTCCTCTCCCCAGTGGCAGGGTACAGTTCCGAGAGAGGAGCTTGTTACACCCTCTCTCCAGCGGCAGCCTAACCCACCCAGGGGAGATGTTACACACCCCAACAGTGCAGATGAGACCGTAGTCTCTGCACTTGCAGCACAAGGGGTAGGGACGGTCGGTCCTGTCCCCCAGCCCCAGAGCTGTGTACCCAGAGGGGAGACGGTCGGTCTCCCCCTCCCACAACCAGGCTCCAACCAGGCTACTTCAGTGGTAGCGCTGGCACCAGGGCAGAGTACTGCTGGTCTCTGCCCACTCAGCAACCCACCAAGGCAGTCTACCAGCCCCCCCCACAGCCGTGGTGAGGCACCTGGACATGGACAAAGTTCTCCTCTACCCAGGTGTAGTAACCAGTTATTGTGGGTGGGCTGTACTGCTGTTTCTGTTTTGTGGGTGGGTTGCTGGACTAACCAGGGCACTGACCGGCAGGAGGTCAGATACCCTGTTAGTCTAGTTGGTAAAGGGGAGAAGTGTGGCGAAACCAACCTCGCCACTGTGAACTGGAGAAGCCTGGTTGCTCGTCTGCTCCCTTTGGACTATGGCCCTGCAGGTTAAACCGTTTATTTTCCCTGCAGAAAGGCTTATTCATGCCTTTCTGCCGGGGTGTTCGGTAGATTCCAACTACCGAACGGGGGACCACCGGGGAGCTGGAGTGTGCCGCCAATTGACCGCCGAGAAGCTGCGGTTAACCGCAGCTTAATTGATGAATGCTGGGTGGCCTTTGTTCATTTGCCGAACACGTGGCAGCGGCCATTTTAAGTCCCGAAAGGCCAGCGGTGCTCAGCACTAACACTGTGGAACAGAAAACGGACACTTCCTTGCGCCAACACAGCTGAGCCGTCCTCCCCTGGTTCCTATTCGTGCCCTTGGTGTCGAACACCTGTTCAGTCGGTACTTTGGGATATGTGAATATGTTAACCCAGATAGCTAAGCCATGGAGCCCATTCGTGTAACGAAGGACTATGTGAAAGACTTTGGCTCCATGGCATTTAAACTGTATGTATGTGATCTGAGTGCCATTCATCTAATAATGTGCGCTCAGATCTAAGCTATCTGAGTATATGTAGAAATGTGTGTCTTATGTACTAAATGTATCAGTATGCAATTTTATGTCTTTTACTGTCTTTTTGTCTGCCATGTGGGTAATGGAGTTTTACCTCTGTCCTTGGAGATAATTAGATTCCTTCCCCAATTATCTCCAGGGCAGAGAGGAGGGATTGTGAGGCATTGTGGGAGGTAACTCTTGTGTGATTGGTGTATTGGGTAATTGTTGCAAATCCCTCCCTTGCATGGGAGAATCCTTTATAAGCCTGTTGTGTGAATAAATCAGTGTTGTTCCTGTTTAACCCTCAAAGTGAAGTGTCGTCTCATTCTTAGGGGGAATTTGACTGTATGCCGATTGCCAGGAGTGTAAGCTGTTCGTAGGGCTTTTCCTGTTCGGCTGCTTCCAGGGTTCGTGTGTCTGCTGTTCGAGAGTTGGTGAATACGTGCAGTTTGGAGTTCGGGAGGTTGGTGATTGCAGTAGCTGCGGGTCTAACTGGAAGGAGATTATCGCCTAAACGGTTTTTATCCCCTTGTGAGCGAAACGGTCCGTTACAGTGCACAAGGGGTTAAAATCCCTTGATGCTGGTTTGGGCTTCGCCTTTGCTGCTTCCAGCGGGGACCTGTGCCGAGCTAGCATTAGCACTTTCTCAATAGGAAAACACTGTATAATGCTTTCCAATGGGATTCTGGGTGACACTGGATGTCCTCATGCATAGCGTGAGGAAGTCCAGCATAAGTTAGGTGACCAAAAGTATCCTAACCACCAGGAAGTACCTCTAGTTCATAAAAAAACTGCAATAATTACCATTGCAGGGTTAAGGGACATGGGACACTGCATCCCGACCATTTCAATGAGCTGAAGTGTTCTGGGTGCCTATATTGTCCCTTTAACCTGCCAAATGTCAGGGTTCTAATTTAGCAGACAGTACACTTACCAAACATATGTCATCCTTTAATGGATGCCTAATGCACTCTTGTTAATTCTCAAATCATAACAAACGGTACACTTCTTGGACAGATGGTGCATGCACTACATGCTCACTGAATCATGGGGCACTTAAAGCACAACCTCATATTCTTCACACCCTGATTAACACTGCTCTTTGTATCACAGATATTCTGAAGCGTTTTAACCCTGGCATTACCGGGTTTGCCAAGAACAGCACAGTTTGTTACAAACCACCCCTATTGGAGGACTCTGGACTGAACTTGGCCATCACTGGAGCCAATACCTTGTAAGAAAGACCTTCATTGTATTAAAAAAAATTAAACAGTCCATTCACAAAAATACACAGAGAATCAGTTTTAAATTAGTTTTGTGTGCAGAGATCGAGCAGAGACTCTCCTGAAATGAATGCATGCACTGGTTAGACAGCACTGATGGCTGCAAAAATATATTGTCTTCTGATATACAATGTTCTTAAATGATCATTAAATCGTATAAACCAAAACCAAACATAAAAATACCTCTATTCAGAATTAGTATCTAAGAATACCATCTATGAAAAATCATAGTCATCCTTTTATATTTTGGGCAAATGATGATCTATAATTAAGTTCAAGCAGTAAAAGTGAACAATTAATTTGTGAAAAATTTAATATATATTCTACGTCTACTAAATGTAAATAGAAAAATTACCTGATGAGCTTTGAAAAAGCATGGATATTTTTTGGATTATCTGATAACTGCTCCTCAACACAATGGAACATAACTGGTAAATGCCTGAATTCTGGAATGTTGGCATTTCTTGAAGCCTGGGTTTGGCAAACCATTCATACTGATGTCAGTTCCACATTCACATTAAAACATATAAGGGTATGCACCATTACTGATTTAAAATTTTAAACATATTAAACTGAACCACCTGTAATTTCAGTTTGCTGCCACAAGAAACAAGACATCTAATTGACACAATGAAATCTTACCCGGTAAGTTTTTTTTTTTTAACTGTTGCTTTTATACTTTCAATGTTCTAAACATTCTTTACTCTGTGGCCTTTCAGATTAGGAAAAGCTCTCCTTTCTATGTCTTTTCCAGGGTATCAACTTTCTCGAGGACTGGAAGGTGGTCACCATTTTTATTGGATCCAATGACTTATGTGACTTCTGCAAAAATAAGGTGAGTTGTGCTATAAGACTCATTCTCAGTTGAATTATAAACGAGGGCATGGGATACTGATCCAGCAAGGTTGGTTTTATCCGCTTGGAACACTGCTTGTTCATCTTTCATCGAGGGCCAGAAATATTATTTATTTTAATATTAAGTGTTTTGGTTTTTTTGTCACCTTTTTTCTATATTTGGAATCACATTTTTTACCTATAATTTATATGTATGTGGTCATTGGTTATTTTTCATTTTAAGCATAAATGCATTTATTGGTGGTAAGTAGACTTGTGCAGGGTGAAACATGTTGCTTCTTTTGAAACATTTTGGGAACAGAATTTAATTAATGTCACTGTTCAGTTGATCAAATTCTGGTACCAAAATATTCAGGAAGGTCTTTCGGAAAAAAGGTGTTTGTGAAAGGAAAAAGTCAGTGTGCGATTGGCCACACACTCACTGCTTCTACATTAAGAAGAACTAAGCTTTCCCACATATTAAGTCTGCCTTAATTGAAAAAATACAATTATAGAAAAAATATAAAAAATAGCTCACTCACTTCTTTTCTTTATTTTTTTGAAAAATTCTGTTTATGTATTAAATGACTCTTGATGTATTGGAATGTTTCTCTTCTCGGGTGGAAAGGGTTACCAGTTGCCTATGCCCAATTTTTCCTGAGAAAACGAAGTGACCATTGCACAGGAAACACTGCATAGTGCTCACACACTTGTGCAGCAAACACTGGACTGAACACTTAGAAAAGAAATAGGATTTTAATTCTCTAAACAGTTAACAAGAATATTTATCAACTTTATATTGGTGACCTAGGATCAGTGACTAAATGTTTGCCAATCTCCCACTCTGATTGTTTCTAACCAGATAAAGTAGAACTGCTAACCTAGTTGTGACAAACTCCCCTTCTCACATGAGTTTGCCAAGATCTAACCAACCTCCTGCCCACAGACTATGTGCCATACAGGGAAACCTGTAAAAGACTACTGAAGTTGACTGACCGTTAGCTCTGATTTCCCTGGAACTGTTTTGGGCACAGGACTATGCGTGCGGTCGGTCAAAACTATGACTTCCAGGAAATTCCTGAACCCAGTTAGCTTTAAATTTGTTTTTGTGTGAAAAAAATCAAAAAATGAATATTTGGCCAGTGTTTGTGTTGAAGTGGCTATTAAAAATGACTGGACATACCTAATTTGCAATACCTTGGGTTGTCTATTTTTACAAATGGTATGCCATCATGAGGGTAATTCTCATTCCTGGGCTACCATATGGTCTCAAAGGCAACATTACCAAACTGGCAAATTTCAATGTGAAAAAAAATGAAATGCAAGCCTTATATTTGACTCTCTAACTTTCCAAGACACCATAAAACCTGTACATAAAAGGTACTGTTATACTTGGGAGACTTCACTGAACACAAACATAAGTGTTTCAAAACAGTAAAACATATTACAACAATAATATCGTCAGTAAAAGTGCCGTCCGTGTATGAAAAATGCAAAACACTCGTTGTAATACAATTTATCATTTTGAAACACTAATATTTGTGTTCAGTGAGGTCTCCCGAGTAAAACAGTACCCTCCATGTACAGGTTTTATGGGGTCTTGGAAAGTTACAGGGTTAAATATAGTGCTTGCGAATTAAATTCTCTGCACTTTCTGCCTGGGTTGTCAGGTATGTCAATCAAATTTTAATTAATAAAATCACATAATTATGCTAAAAGATTACTTAAATATACACGTAGAATTTTATTATGTATACATATATATGTATTTAAATTCTACATGTATACTTATGTAATCATTTATGTAATTATATACAGTTGCAAGAAAGAGTATGTGAACCCTTTGGAATGATATGGATTTCTGCACAAATTGGTCATAAAATGTGATCTGATCTGCAACTACAGGAAACGTTTGGTTGAAGTTATTGCTGCCAAAGGAGGTTCAACCAGTTATTAAATCCAAGGGTTCACATACTTTTTCCACCTGCACTGTGAATGTTTACATGGTGTGTCAATAAAAACATGGCAACATTTCATTCTTTGTGTGTTATTAGTTTAAGCAGACTGTGATTGTCTATTGTTGTGACTTAGATGATGATCAGATCACATTTTATGACCAATTTGTGCAGAAATCCATATCATTCCAAAGGGTTCACATACTTTTTCTTGCAACTGTATATTTATCTATATAAATATATTTGCGGTTATTTGTATTTTATATATATGTTTTAAGGCCATTTGGCCTGTATTTGTGGGAGGGGCTTAAATTAATTCACTCCCCTATATAAGGGACACCCCTTACCTGACTCATATCGCTTGAGGTCAGCATCAGAATGATTTCCACTTCCGGGTCATCCAGACGCCATTTTACCTGATTACTCCATGAGGTTTTCTAAGCTGAGCTGTGTCAGGAATTCAGCCACAGGCTTTTCCGGCCTTCCACCTTCTTTCTTCAATCTATCGCTGTGGATGGTGTCCAAGTGACTCACAAACTGTAAGTCGACCTACCCGTTACGCCAGGCATCAGTCCCACGGCACCATGCATGGGTCAGGTCCTCACTTTACGGCTGCATTTGGTCTAAATCTGTTCTAAAACCATTGGATGTTCATGCATATCATTCGTTTAAACTCACTTGTTTATATCTGTCACTGGCTTATTTCGAGCATTAGCCTACTCCCAAACGGGAACACATTCTGTTTCAATTGCCTAAACATACTAGGCAATTCTGTGCGTGCATTTCAAATCTCACTGCTCGTTTCGTTTTGTTTCCCTGACATACCAGGCTCACGGTTCGTGCAATTTTCTACCAAATGGGTACTAGTTCATGCATTTACTATTGTACTACACACACGTTTCGTGTGTTTACAACCCATGAACAGAACTTTGGTTTGTTACAATGACTGTTATTAAGCTATTATGTTCACTTATTGTATATTGTCAAACGGGCACTGTTTGTTTCACAACTATAATGCTGGGGCATAGCTCACAAACAATGTTTCACATAAACCACACTGACCCCTACAGGTCACTCTCAAAATCTCATGTTAACCTTGCATTTGGATTAACCCCTTAAGGACCAAACTCTGGAATAAATGATATGTCACACATGTCATGTATCCTTCAGGGGTTAAAGGGTATTTTACCATACAATCAGCATTTCTGACCCCTACTGGTCAACAGCAAAACTGTCTTCACATGTCATATACAATTACCAGCCAATATAAATTACACATAAGATTGTTTTAAACATAACCATAAACCATGAATTAAACTCCAACACGGGCTCAACTTCAGGTTTAATTCACAATAATTTACATTTCACATTAAGACTAACAGTGGTTCTATCAACACTGCCACCTACAGGTCTGTCAAGTACATTGACAATTTTCATGGGGTTTTACAAACACCAAAACATTGACCCCTATAGGTCAACAGACAAACAACATTTCACATACCAATCAGTATCAACTACACTGCCACCTATAGGGCACTCGGCAGATCTCCAGTGCACTTGCATTTTGCAACTCCATGTTCACTTTCCATTCAATAAGGCATACAACAATTCACATAGCAAGCAGTATATCAATATCTGTTATAAATATACATATTATTACACAGTAGCACACGCATCTGTATATACGTAACTGATAATATGGTTCACATACATACGGCACTTAATCGCTTAAGATTGATACATATTTAACCAGTATGGATATGATGTTTAATATTTACATATCACAGCACTTTACTTTCACATATACTGTATGTTTTAAGATAAACTTGGTCTATGCCATATTTCCTTATGCCATACGGTTTTATCCATTCAGGTTACAGTTACTACTAAAAAACCTATACGGATTGTCAGGTTCAATACCATACTACCAGGTACGTACACCTGCTCACATAGTTATCCATCTCTTACCTTCCCTGGAATAGTAATAGTGTACCGGCAATTAGGGTTCTAGGGCCCAATAGGTATTACCCCCTTTTTTCTCTGCATTATGCTTCAGTTAGTGGTCACGCGAGGCCAACACCCCGCCTCACACTCTGAGGCATACACCCCTCGGGCCACTCGTGAGCTAGCCGCCTCGCATTGTATCATAGAGAGGGCCTCACCTGTCACTCCCCTTCCTATTTTTCTGGTTATTGTCACCGAGAGGCTAACATCCTGCCACAACGTTCGGTGGCCACACAAAATCCCCTCGTGCCAAGCATAGATAGAGCCTCTCAAGCCACTTGGCAACTAGCAGGGCCTCACCAGTCACCAAAAAAAAAACACCAAGCCTAATCGTTTCGCCTTACGGCTTAGCTAGCAAGCCGGTACAAGACCCCTGGGTACAAATATATAATTGCAATCTTTATTGTTATTTAAGTATTTCTCAAAAAGATGGTAAGAATCACCTCTTCCTAGCACCACGGCTAGAAGTGATACACCTTCATCTCTTACCTTCCCTGGAATAGTAGTAATGTACTGGCAATTAGGGTTCTATGGCCCAATAGGTATTACCCCTGTTTTCTCTGCTTTATGCTTCGGTTAGTGGTCCCGCGAGGCCAACACCCCGCCTCACACTCGGAGGCATACACCCCTCGGGCCACTCGTGAGCTAGCCGCCTCGCATTGTATCATAGAGAGGGCCTCACCTGTCACTCCCCTTCCTATTTTCTGGTTACTGTCACCGAGAGGCCAACATCCTGCCACAACGTTCGGTGGCCACAAAAAAAATCCCCTCGCGCCAAGCATAGATAGAGCCTCTCAAGCCACTTGGCAACTAGCAGGGCCTCACCAGTCACCAAAAAACACCAAGCCTAATCGTTTCGCCTTACGGCTTAGCTAGCAAGCCAGTACAAGACCCCTGGGTACAAATAATAATTGCAATCTTTATTGTTATTTAAGTATTTCTCAAAAAGATGGTGAAGAATCACCTCTTCCTGGCACCCCGGCTAGAAGTGATACACCTTCAAGCAGAGGAGATGTGGCTCCGACCTAAGGAGGCGACAAATCCCCTACCCTGCCACAGCAAGGAAAGCAGAGTTATTCAAACTCCTCCATACATCAACGGACAACACGGAGGCAGGGGAAGGCCCAGCAACACCAACTCAGGTGACACCCAGGCCATGCTAGCCTCACTCAAACTCATGAGCCAAAAATTTTTACGACAGACTGGCAATTTCGAGTCAGTCACAGCCCTCACAAGGCTGGGCCTCACGCTACTGTACAACCAGCACCAACCGAAACTCGGTTACTTGGTACAAGACGTTAACCCTGCACATATGATCCCGGCACATTGGGGAAACAAGGCATATATATGTATGATGATGTATCTATGATGGTCAGACCCAGGGATTCTAGGTAAATCGGGAACTGACCATCCCTTGGTTGTGTTGGCATTTGGAATATGTAGAGATGCTTATTTGTGCAGGTACCCATACAGAAGGGATTTTCTCCCAAACAAACAGGCGAGCACTCTCAGGCTCCAGGTACCAGCACCTCTGAACTACCAGAGACAATTGGTATTAGTAGTTGCATTGCATATAGACTGTTGCATATATGTTCAAATCATTCAGGGCACATGACAAACCATGTGTCCCAATACAACTTACAAATAACGTACTCACCATCTGTACACACCAATGCATTTTCAACACTACTGACTCATCACCCTTCCAGACTTGTAGTAGAGTTACTAAGGCTCTGGAGCTTCAAAGGGGTCCCATACAGGTATCATAAATAAACTCTCAAGGAATATAGCATGCCCTCACTTACAGTCAGCACAACAGAACCGTCGGCTGTAAACACACTCATAGCCAAGATTTGCAGAGGGGTTTTTACTTGGGTTTTCCAATCTCCACCATTTACAGCATGGCACCAAACACAAACGCATTGGTATTGTCACAAGGGAATCTTCCCTTAAACAAAGACTAACCATAGACTTATTGGCACCACACACCTTCGCTACCCCAAGTCTCAACTCCCTCATACCCTCCGAGGAGTTTCCTTACTATACACACCATTGATCTACCTTTACAGCTATCACTCAAGCAGGAGTTGAAGCTTCGTTAAGTAAGACCAATATCATCAAACTGGCACTTACATGGCATAAAATGGGCAATCCTTTCCCCGCTAAAAGCAGCTGCTGTGGCATGGGGTAAATCATG